CATACAATTACAAAATAAGTTTTCTTTACAAGCTATCACATGATACCATATCTGCTTTATCTATGTTGGGCAAATCTAACAGCTATAACATTTTTTATGTGGCACACATTGATTTTTTAATGGTCTTTATGAGGTTTGAATATGAAATTGTTGCTTGAGAATGAACGTTGCCATCAGAGACTGGGTCATATGTATTTCAGTGAAGATCCTATCTTGAAATGTAAGCCTTGTGCTGTCAAATGGAGTGTGTGTATCCACAGACAGGACTTGGCTGTATCAGTATTTGAAAACTCTTGCTTTGTCAGACAGTATCTGTATGTTTTTCCAGGAAGGTAGCTTTCTGGTCCACAAGTGCTTTACCACAAAGTAAAGGCAAAAGTCTTTGTTTTTAAATAGCTTTATACTTCATGGAAAAACACAAGTCAGAAGAAAAATAATTTCTGCTTTGCATGGTAAAAACAATCAGTGTGAATAGTTTTGTTTATTTTCCTGGTCAAAAAGTCACTGTCAGAGTATATTTAAAGCAAATGGAGAGATGGGAGGGGCAAATAGCCTTAAAGCAAATGCATCACACACAATACTTTTTTAAAAAAGAGAAAGAATCCAGGCCAGCATGTTAAAAATGAGCATTTCCAATACAATTTGTCACCCATGCATAAATCTTGCTGACATTTTCAGTCACTTTAATAGCCTTCCCATTTTATAAATCAGTATGAACTTGCACAGTTGCAAAAAGTGTGTATTTTGAACATCTCATTTGCATACTTTACCAAAAGCCAATGAGGCAGTGGAAGCAACACTGGTGATCATAATAAGTGTTTGGGAAAAGGCAGAAAGATCACTAATGGTTTGCCTTTAGGGATTTCTGTACTCCATAGGGGACGAAAATGAGAAATATTTTTCAAACAGCAGGGGTAAAGGTTTTAAAACTAGAAACACATGGAGTGATAAAAATGTTAGTGCCACAGGGCGCATAGCAGGAAAAATTTACAATGTAAAAACTGTAATTTCAGCATTAGGAAGTAATAATCGTGTTTCATCATTGTTATTAAAGCATGACCCTTAAAGTCACATAAATTAGATATAACTTTCTAGAGAAGTGTATTAATCTTCAATGGAAAATATTAGGAAAGTTTATTATCATAAGAAGATCAGAAGAAACTGTTTTTTAATAAAAATAAGTTATACTTTTTTTTTTTTTTTTAAGAAATCTTTAACATTTTGAAACAGCAGATAGTCTTATGTTTACTCAATGCAAAATGCAGTGGCCAGCTTTGCTCTGAAAACCAATAATAGTTACATGAGAAGAAACAAACAACCAACAATTAAAGAATGAGCAAAGAAAAACCAGGAAGTACTATTCATAGGCATAGATGGCTTATATTTTGGTCAACATAGTCTTTCTGTTGCATTGATGCCAAATGCATCCAAATGATTAATGGAGAATGTTAGAGTCGGAGGAAAAAAATAAAAGTAAAATTGTAGCCTGAGGTACCACAAGAATATCCACTGGGAGATTTGAAATAGAACCAGTTATCCGAGGTGTGTAATTAGTGACTGAGAGATAGCTCCCATCCTATCTTTAAAGTGCAATTTTATGGGGACCTCTGTATTTCTTGCGAGTGTTTCTTAACCATATCTCTTCACCTGCAAGAACTTTTTTGGAAAAAGAAGTATTTTCAGCAAACTAATGCCACAATGATGCTGGGGGCACAGTAGCCCCCAGCTCTCCCATCTTGGTCTATTCATTGGGGTATAAAAAATTGGCACAATGTGGTGGGATTGGACCTTCTGGGAGACAAACCAGCTGCTAAGTACTATGCTGTGCCACACTGTCCCACTGGTGTGGACGTATCCAAAATAAATGTGATTTCTGTTTACTTTCTGTCTCCAGAATCCAGAGCTTCCTGAAATGGATCATTCAGGGTGTGGATTTAGCAGTGTTTGCTGTGGCCAACAGAAGCTGTGTAGGTGAAGACTAGAACAAGAGAATGATCTCTGAATTTTTCTGTTTCCATGATTACCTTGAAAATTTTCTTCTGTTTCAATTTTGAAAGCATTAGCACTTTAAAGTGGTCTGGTGTGTAAAAGAGAACTCAGATGAACCTGGCAGCCTGGCTGCACTTTTAATTTTCTAGAAATAAAGAAGGGAGTAGAGCATTTCTATTGATAAAGATTTCTCCAAGAGAAACATTTTCAACCTGTTTGCAATGCTGGTTGCATCTTGTGCCAAGGCACCAAGGATCTGCCTGGGAGTATAAACTTGCCTGTTCTCCAGCCCCCATGAGGCATTACCAGGAGGCATACCAGGACATAGAGCTTGACTTCTTCTTGAATTTCTTTTCCGGTGACTTTCCCTTTTCATTCTCCATATTTGTACATCTGCAAGAGAAAGAGGTTCAGAGTTCATCTAAATGAGTAGAAAACCCCTTCCCAACTTAATCTCTAGCTTGACTTTGAGGGTAGCCTCCAGAGAAACAGTAAATTCTTTCCTGAGTGCTCCAAGCACAAGGAATGCTATGCATAAGAAGAGCATCATTATTATCTCTCCCTCCAGCTGTGTTCTTGTGTGAAAATGGTAGTAGTTGTTGTTTTTTCTGTCCCTTTCTGCCAGTCCCTTAGGCAGTTTATGAAGCTCATGCATAGCCAAAGATTAGGCATCATGCTTCTCTGTGCCATGGGAGCTAACAAGGCAAACTTGCCCAAATGTGTCTTTTTTTTTTTTTTTCCCTCTTCCCCCCCCCGCCCCCCTTTTATGTTTAGATTTCTGCCACTAACCATGGTGGCAGAAGTTTTTTTTTTAATTTATTTTTATTTTTATTTTCCAAAGCAGAGAATCAAGTGTTTTTTTTTTGTTTTTTTTTTTTCTTTTCTTTTTTTGTTTTTCGTTTTTTTTTTTTTAATAAAAAAATAATTAATTTTATAGTTTAGAAAGCTCATCGTTTAAAGTCAATAGGTACTAAGCACCAGCTACTGTAATGGTCCAAATGGAAAGAGGATTCATCATTTTCTTACTGAAAAGGGAAAGATGAAGTAAAAATAGAATTTGTCTGTTTAAAATAGGGCAGCTAAAGAAGTAGGGAAAGCAGTGGATAAGTGGGAAATTTGTAAACTTTATAGCTTTATGGCACATTTTGTGAAATTCTGCTATTTTCAGATATTCTTTTACCATGAAGAAAAGTAATAGCTTTTGTAAGGTGAAATGAATGACAGTAATGACTTACTACTCAATATTATTAACCATCTGCTTTATGCTGCTATAAATCGATTTAGAAAATAATTTGGCAAGTGTTGGGGAGTCTATATAACTTTAGAGACTAAAGCTTTCAATTTCCAAATAGAGAATCCTTACTTATCTGGAAGTCTGCTGCTGAGGAAACAACTTCATTAGTTGGCAGTCTGTTTCTGTAATAGTGATCTACGAAATGGAATTGCAACAACCACAATAAAAAAACTCTGTATATTTATATATATATTTTTAACATTTTAGAATTACTTTGAAGAGTAAACAGGTGGTGAACAGTTTGAAGATGAACCTGGGTGATCTTAAGACATTCATCCCATAATAGAATTCATTGATGGAATCAAATGTGGCCAGCATGGAAAGCAGTGCTCTCATGGTACCAACTGACTTCTGCTCTACCTGTTGGCGTACATGTGGAAATTTCCATTAGATAAGGGCCTGAGACCAAAAGACATTCAGTTTAGTTATAATGTGTATAACGTTGTCTAGACTTTGTAGTGTAATGGGTATGTTTCTTAGGACTCATTCCCTAAACTTTTCCAGCTGGGATACTTTGAGTCCCTCAACTTAGCGACTTCAGTCTGAGAAGGTAAAAGAGAAATACAGGTTCAGCTCTAATGACCTGTTTAAGAGCATTTTTTTAACAGCCAAAATACTAAAATTAGAGTAGAAATTATCTAAGATAAATCTTGAAACTTATTTTGTTTAATATTTTAATTAACAATCTGTAATACAAAAAAAGAAAAGGAATATTGTCCTAGTACAAATTCTGGGAACATATGTTCAAAACTTATTTGAGCTAAACAAGAACTAGACCATGTTCAATGCTGAAGAAGTTTATATGAGATTTAACATTACTGAAATTTAGCTACTTGTCAAAGCATTTTTCTATTAAGAAGAAGATCCCAACAAAGAACAACAGAGTTAAAAAAGGAGTTAATTTCATGAGGGTATTATAAAGTGGTTGTACCACTACAAAACTTTTATAAAAAAGTAGATGCAGTCTTAGACCCTAGCAAGAGATTAACAGCAATGCTTGCATTTCTTAATATATATATATATATATATACATTTCCTCTTTTCTCTGGCTCTGAGGGATCACAGTTTTCCTTATTGCATCTATTCTTTGGGAAGAATTTATTGTATCTACATAGTTACGGTCATTATGGATGCATGACCTATGTAATTTAGCATGTCCCCAAAATAAAAGTATGTGTCTGAAATAGCATCTCACCCCCTAGTACAAGAGGAGTTATGCAAAGCCAGAGCAGTTACTCTGAGTGAGATCATGACATACTTTCTAGGCTCCTCTAGGAGGTCAGACATATATCCAAAGATCATACATTGTGTCAGAAGCACATCCTGATGTTCCCTGGGAAAAAAACTTCTGCTTCTTTTCTACTCAATTAATGCAGCTGAAATGAGGTTTTGGAGCTGTTATATGATGGGTGAGTGAATCTTTCCATGAAGGATTTCTGAAAATGAACTGAGGACAGTAAGGCAGTAAGAGAAGTGAAAGTGTTTTCCAAGATCAGGAAGGACTTGAGCATGCAACAAGACCATGTGCTGCAGGATAGACATTGAAGATCTCCAGACAACATCTGACAGAGGTTTTTCAAATATATATGCGCAAAGCAATATCAACTTTTTTTTTTTTTTTTTGATACTGCTGACTCCTTTAAAAAGAGAAATGAGATCAAATGGAATAAAATGGGGTCTAAAGGGAAATACTAAATATTCAAATTTGTTTGCTTACTTTTCTTTATAAAGGCCATGAATTTCTTCATATATGTTCTTAAAATATTTTATAGCTATCTTGTTTTCTGAAAGTCAGTCAATAAACCAGTAGTGGGCAGTCAGCATCCATGGGAAAACCTGCAATAATAACATTTATCCTATAAATAAAAGACTGGTTCATGTGCTTGATGGAAGGAAATAAATTTTGAGAGTGACTTCAGTATCAAGTGATTGAAGGGTTTATTGTATAAACCATAAGTGAAACACATTATTAAAAGTTATGAAAAATACAGTGTCTTAATAACTGTAGAATGCCAGTCAAAACATGGTATTTTGCCATGCTACTTAAATTCAACAGCCTTTTCCCCATGAAATATATTTTCCCTATGAGTTTTTAAGTAAATATTTTCTTGGGAAATTATGAAGTGCATATTGCTTAGGAAAGTCTAGTCTTGAATGAAATGCATTTAGGTACACCATTAACATGTTAGAAGGGGCATAGTAATAGTCCCTCCTGACCCTAAAATATACAGAACAATTGTTTTTTGCCAGATTACCTATTTTCACAGTTTTGATATTGAAGCACATACGTATTATTCAATTTTGCTTTGATCGTATACAACATTTGCATCTATTAAACTTAGACGTTCGTGCTTCATACATACCACATGAAAAATTCACACAGGAAATGCTGCTTCAGGGCCCAACAAGTATGAAGAAGATGCAAGGAGGGTACTCCAGAGCTGGAGGTAGAAAAATGTGGTTACAATCATCCCTCAAATGGCGTGAGTATGCAAAAATCTTCCAGCTGAGAAGAAAAGGTAATGGTCAAGCTGTCAGCCGAAATATAAGATGGTTGAATTTAGTTCTGTTCTCTGCTGGTGTGAGCAGTGTCTCTACCATCTGTATAGATGCAGATGAAGAGATAGAGTATCATGAAGAGCTGCTGTAGGAGGATTTTTCTGTCTCTCCTATTGACTCACTGCTATTGTGTATGACCAATAAATATTTACTGCTTCAGCTGTTAGGGTTTAAATCATTTGTCTTGTTTTTGTTTTTGGTACCGTTGGCATTGTCTTTCTGATGTAAAATGCAGCAGCTCAAACAGGTCATCAAACAGGACTGTTTACTGAAGTGTAGAAGAGTTGTTTTCAAATACATTGAATCAAGCAAGGAGAAGAAGCCTGATTTTTGTAGCTGAATCACATTTTCTGATGTTGGCCAAGTGAGGACTGCATTCCAGTTCCTAATATTTTGGAAGTGTGAAGTGTGAAGAGTAAACACATTAGGTCCAGTCATGGTCCAGACAAAAATAATTTCTGATAAATCTTGGCTCCATTAGTAAGCCAGCTAAACACATAGTGAACCTGTTACTGATCTTATTTCACTCCTGGCCTTAGATATAATAACTCATATTCCATCGAAATTATGAATTACTTGTAGTTTTTCATTCATACTGATTCATGTTCCTAGATGACGCCACACTTTTTGGCAAAATATTGATGGGGATATAAGAATGATTAGAAAAAAGCACACTTTCCTGGCATCAAATATTACTTACATTGGTGTTGTGGACAGATCCCCTCCAACACATTTATTTGAAAAACTACACTCAACTGCAGATATAGTATATATATATATTTTTTAATTTTTTCCCCACTATGCACTATACATAACTGTCATTTTTTACTCAGTATAGTTTACAAGAACAAGATACTTCGTTATGCACTGAATATTATACCTCTAATAATAAAATAAACTTTTGCAAATATCTAGGCTTATTTTCTGTAACATACATGTTGTAGGTCTCAGCCACCTATACATCTGTATACATATGTAACTTCTGCTGAACTAGAGCCTAACCTCTTAGAAATATACTGTGAATTGATCTAAAGACTTTGAGTGAAGGAAATCCTTATGAATTATTCCTGTGACTAATTATTAGAGAAGAGTGTTGTGTTTATACTGTGAATTTCAGTATATTTCAGTTTCTTCATTTTCCAAACTTTGGAGTTTTTTATGCCATCTTCTTTAAAAGTGACTTAGCTTTCTATTTTCCTAAAGCCACAATTTAACCCTAAATAAGGATAACTAAGAAGGATTTAGCTTAGTAAATCTCTTCCCAAGAGGATAGTTTTTTCAAGTAATTTCAGAAAGACTTTTTGAAACCCCTCCCAGATTTGTGACATCAAAGCAGTAAATAGAGAGGAGCGTTCCTGGCCATGTCCTTCAAAGATGGAAGGGAACAGCAAGGTAAGACCTAGGCTGGATAAAGAGGCATGGAAATCATTTGGCAGCCTGCAAGGTGTTAATTTGAGCAGGGATAACATTACAATACCTGACTAATGTTTTTTTCTATGCTGAAAGTTGCAATATTCAGACATGGAGCTCTTCTTTATGCACTGTCTGATCTGCTACTATAGGCACTAAAACCCAGAATGGATGCTGAGTGGAATCACATTGGCTACTCCAGGGCTGGATGTAGGACTGCAGTCAATGCCAAAGTGGTAAAGGTGTGAACTTTGGTGAGCAGCAGTTATGGAGACTGCAACAGCATTGTCAGCACAGTGGAGGAAGCTTGTTAGTTAGCTTTTGTCAGGATTAGCAGTGATGCCATTTTCTTCCAAAGTGTTTAAGGTGAATTCTTAGAGAGCTGTGAACGCACAGGAAAGGCAACCACTGGTATCCCTCTTTGCCCGCATTTGGTATGCAAGGGCGCAGGCATCCAGCGAGCAGCAGACAGCACTAAACAAGGACTACCCCGCTGCAGAGAGAGACGTGCAAAGTGAGAGCAGCTGTGAATGTTGGCATATTTAGCTGCTAAGAGCTGCCGACCCTCACAGATGAGGCTGGCACAAGACTGCAGGAATGAGGTTGGGGTAATACTAACAAGACTGAATTGATCTGCATATATTACAAAGGAAGACCAGAATACTTGCATAATCACAAATCTGTAAAGTAGGTCCAGGGGAACACCTTGACTTTCCCAGGAAATTGGAAGGCAGCTGTGAATGTTTTTGGCAGAAAAGTGCTTCTGCATTTGAGAACTGTCAACCCGCCATTGTTTGCTCTGTTTGAGCTCAGTTTGAGTGTTGCTGAAACTCTCTCTGAGTAGCCCTGTTACAAGACTTAGTGCTCTGTGTTGCAGACCGAGAAGAAATAAAAAAGAACATCCTACCTAAAAATTATGTTACGATACAAAAATATAAATATGTTATGGAAAGTCTTCTATACTGCTTTAAATAAAGAAAAGGGATTTTTTTTTCTAATTGAGAATTTAAATATCTCCCTTATATAAAATGATGTTGCTGGTTTAGAAATTTCATATAATTCTAAATATTTTAGATATGTTCCTTATGAAAATGTTAATATAGTCTGGGCAGATTTGGCCAGTACTTTGAATTACACTACAGATGTATAAAGGTTAAATGAAAAAAGGAAACAAGAGCAGAAAGATGAGAAAATGTATCGGCTCTTTTCTCTAAGAAAACAAACAAATAAAAAAAATAAAAGTCATGTGACTTAGTTGCAGAAACTTTTGTTTAAAAACTTTAAACTTTTGTCCACTGCATTTTCTTAGTCAGCTACAATTGCCCTCCCTAAGGAATTTATTTATTTATTTATTTATTTTAGCAAATCATGCTGTTTGAATAGGCATAGCAGAATATTTTAGCAATCTCAGGAATTGCAAGTTCAGTTTTGCATTGGTGAAGTACATAATGTAAACTGATGCCTCTACAGAAAGTAGCCTATAATGCAAGAAGACAAATCACTGATTTGGAATTGATGTTTCTTGTACTTGATATGTTAATTTATATGCAACAAATTTATTTGATCCCAAATTCAGGAATTTAAGCAAACTGTCAGATAATTACATAGTCATCAAGTGAAGAAATAAAAACAAAAACAAAAACAAAAACACATCAAGATCCCTGTTGCAGCAAACAAGTATATAAATTAGGGAACAAGTGACTAATACTGAGAGGAAAGAAATATACTAAATAAAGTACTATTCCAGGCATGTAACTCATGTAACATCAAGGTTATGATTATACGAGAATTAAAGAAACTGGAACTAAAGAGAGAAAATTTGGCATTAATGCTGACCCTTGCCCTTCTAATTTTTGAAATGGTTTTATTTTTATTTTCTATGTTCACAATGCATATGCCAATATAAGTCGCTGTGTTTTACTAATGCAAAACTATTTAGATGTAGAAAAATAGCTTAGTCTTCATTTGATTTTCAAGTCTGACTGAAGAAAACAAGACAATACATGTATACAGCTCCCTGCCCAAATACAGTCACATATGTTTGTTAGGCTGTATTTTTTTTTTTTTAGGGTTAAATCCTCTTTATTTAGGATGTAGATACGGTCCTCATAGTTAGAATATTTACAGAATCCCTTAGGTATTTCTGCAGGAAGAATAATAAAAAGAATAATCAAAATAATTTCAAGGTCAGATATCTATTCTTTGGGTTTTGAATAAAACGTAATTGGCTCATTTTGATACTTACATAAAAATTTTCAGGAAAAAAAGAAAAAGGCATGTTAACTAACTAGAAATCTGAGTTTTATTGACACTTATATGATTTTGGATCCAAAATGATTTAGGAGATAAGTCTTTCTACTTAATTTACTTTTCTTTTTTATTTTATTTTATTTTATTATTTTATTTTATTTTATTTTATTTTATTTTATTTTATTTTATTTTATTTTATTTTATTTTATTTTATTTTTTTCTTAAGAAATTTATTGTTAACTGTTATAGACTATTCAAAGTTAATAAAATATTGCCTGTATACTTAGCAAGAGTTAAAGTATTTTTTCACTGAGCAATGTACTCTGAGATAAATAAGTTGCAGCCTTCAGTTGGTCTGGAGACATCTCAGAAAAAATATGTCTCCAGTTCTTCACATCCCTTTTTGGATGAAGTTTATTGTAAATGCAGCCACTTGATCTCAGAAAACATTTGTTGGATCCCCAATGCAAGCAACATTTAGTAGTTCAAAGTGGATAATAGTCAAATGACACCCAGGATTGTGCTCAAAACTGTGAGGAAAAATAATGTATGTGTACAGTAATTACTCATATTGAGTAGGAATGGGCTATCCATATAATATGGAACTTTATAAGCATAAAAAGTACTAAAATAATTTATACTTGAAAACGGACTGGATCAAAAGTGCTGTTTTTGGAGACACATCTGTTTTTACAAAAGCAGTAAATATGGGTCCAGAATTAATTTCCTTCATTATCTGTATTGAAATATGTATCATTGGAGTTTTGATCATCCCATCTACGTGAAAAACACCAGACTTTTTGCTAAGCTGGTCTTATTGAATACCTAATATTATATTTTTAAGAACTGACATTAAAGACACATGCAAATGAATTATGTGAAAGAAATGCAATTTATGTATGCTTACAATTTTTCTGTTATGTTTATTTATTTATTTATTTATTACTTCTTCAATTGACTCCTAAACTGGTTCATGCACTGAAAGGAACAGAATTACGCAATAGCTCTGAAACTTTCAACTATAAAATGTAAAGGGAATGTAATGAAGAGAAATGCACCAAAAGAGATGACTTATTGGAGTGTCACTTCTCTTTCTTCACATAAAGTCATTTCAAGCACAAGATATATGCAGTTATGTAGTGTGAATAAGATTGCTAAATGTGAATGTTTGAATGTTTGGAATATTCTGCAAGGTGCATTTCAGTAATTTTTTTCCCTCCTT